TGTGTGTGTGTGTGTGTATATATATATATGTATGTATGTATGTATGTATGTATGTATGTATGTATGTATGTATGTATGTATATATCTTTTTAAATCAAAATGTGTTGAGAATGTGCCCTGTGATAATATGAACGGATGCATGCCAAGGGATTAAACGAAGGATTGATCCTTTCTTCCCCTCTTCCACCTATCTTTCTCCAGGGTGGCCAATTCCCACTGAGAGCATGCAGAGGCCCAGGCAGCACCAGTGGGGCAGGCGTGTGACGGAGTGGGGGCTGCTCTAACCGCTGGGCGCGCTACAATATGGGCCAGTGCGTCACCAAGTGCAAGAATCCTTCTTCCACTCTGGGTAGCAAAAATGGCGACCGGGAGGCCCACGGCAAAGCTCACGGGAAGCGGAGCACCAATCACAAGGAGGAGCTCAACCAGGTTGGCAGGAAACCCTCTGGCGATATCCTGGTCAACGGGACGAAGAAAGTGGAAGCGGCTATAGAATCCAACCCGCCTCCCACTTCCTCTGGAGATGCCCGCAAAGAGTCCGTCTCGGGCTCCGAGGAATCGTTCCTCCACAGAACTGAGGAATTGTTCAGGAGGTACAAGGACGAACGAGAAGACGCCATCTTGGAGGAAGGCATGGAGCGTTTTTGCAACGACCTCTGTGTTGACCCCACGGAATTCAAAGTGCTTGTGCTGGCTTGGAAATTCCAAGCGGCTACTATGTGCAAATTCACCCGGTAAGTCCTGGCGTTGCCGTTCCGAAACCACGGGGCTGCCCGGTCTCTGGAGCCACGGGGCTGCCTGGTCTCTGGAGCCACCCCCCCCCCCATTTGAGAAAATGGAGGTCCCAAGGGGGAAAACGTGTGGTTAGCAGTTTGAAGCTCGGTCATTGAGGCCACTTGGGGGGTTTATCTATGCCCTCGGGGTCAGATTTGCAAATGTGAGTGGGACCTCCTGGGAAGTGTGGAAAGGATCTTTTTTTTTTCAAGAGGCAACTGGTTTTTCTTCTCATCCAAGAAGCTTCTTCAGCTCTGAAGAATGGAAGGATTTATACTCCTTGGAGACAGCTGGTCCTTTGCATTCTTTTAGAGAGTCAGTGAAGCCACTTGGTATGTCAAGGCGACACTGATGGAAAGACGGTGTTGAAACAAAGTGTTTTATTTTTTTCTTACATATTTTAACTTATTTTATAAACAAAGTGTTGTCCCGGTTTTTCCCCTTTACATCTTATGTTATGCGTAGTTTATTTTACATCATATTTTCATTTCACACTTCAGTCATCTTATTTTCTTTCCATATTTTCCAGCTTAACTCTATTTTCTCTTAATATATAAACAATATCATTATTGTTTATATATTATCTAGCTTAATGAAAAGTTTAGTTTAATGAAAAGAAGGACTAGGGGAAACATGATAGCAGTGTTCCAATATCTCAGGGGTTGCCCCAAAGAAGAGGGAGTCAAGCTAATCTCTTTTACCCCTGAAAAGCGTTCGGAAACTGCAGCTAGTCCAGAATGCAGCCGCGCAAGCGATATTGGGTGTACCAAGATACACCCATATTACACCTATCCCCCGCGAGCTGCGCTGGCTGCCAATTGGTCTCCGAACGCAATTCAAGGTGNCGGCAAGCCACTCATATCCGGTCACATGGGCGGCAAGCCACTCCCACAAAGGAGGCCACACCCACAGAGTAGGTTCGAACAATTTTTGAAACCCACCACTGTTGGGAACTTTAAGACTTGTGGGCTTCAACTTTGGCTGGCTGAGGAATTCTGTGAGTTGACATTTCAAAGTTGGTACAAGTGATTCCCTCAATGAAGAAGTGAAATCTCTTAATAATAATGTACTTATGTTTATCTAATGAACAATCTGTGATTCGATATATAATTGTAAGTGGTGACCATGGAAAGGACGCACACAATCTTGTAACCAAACGACACGCTATATGAAATGGAAGAAGGTTGAATGTGTTTTATGCTTTTTGTTTGTTTAAAAATAAAAGAAATTATTTTAAAAAAAGAAGTGAAATCTCCCAGCTTTAGTCCTTACAAACATCTGGCCTCTAGCACCCTCCAGTGGTGTGAACTAGCAATTCCCTCATCCGCCTCAAGACAGAGTTTTGTTCTATGCACACCTCATTTCTAATTGAAGAGACTTCTGGTTATCCAGATGCCCCTTTCGTTAAACTGTGTCCTAATCAGATTTGACAGCAGCTGCAGGAATCGGCTTTCTAACAGAAGACTCTAGTCTACATCAAGTGTAAAGAAACGAGTAGCCGTTTGCAGCTAGATACAGGTGGCCCTCCACTTACGACCAAGTAGGACGCAGCGTTCCCATTGCTAAGAAAGGTAGTTGTTAAGGGCGTCATCGCAATTTTTGCAACCTTTTCTGCAATGGTCGTTAAGCAAATCAGTTCAGCTGTTAAGTGAATCATATGGTTGTTAAGCAAATCTGTATGATGTATCATCCATCTATTATCTATCATCCGTCCGTCCGTCCGTCCATCCGTCCGTCCGTCCGTCCATATCTATCTATCTATCTATCTATTTATGCATCCATCCATCCATCCATTTATCCACCCATCCATCTATGTCTGTCTGTCTGTCCATCATTTTTCTACCATCTGTCTGTCTGTCTGTCTGTCTGTCTGTCTGTCTGTCTATCTATCTATCTATCTATCTATCTATCTATCTATCTNACGGCTGGCTCCTATTTAAATGGTTGTCCACTAGGACTCCAAGATCCCTCTCACAGTTAGTGCTATTGAGCAAAAGTACCACCTATACTGTACCTGTGCATTTCGTTTTTCTTGCCTAAATGTAAAACCCTACTTTTTTGAATTTATGTGGTTTAAGTGAAACATTTGCTAAGTGAATTTGTCCTGTTTTACGACTCTTTTTGCTGCATTCGTTAAGGAAATCACTGCCGTTATTCAATTAGTAACACAGTTGTCAAGTGAATCTGGGTTCTCCGTTGACGTTGCTTGTCAGAAGGTTGCAAAAGGACTCCTGAACCCTGCAACCGTCATAACTGTGAGTCAGCTGTCAGGCAGCTGAATGTAAATCATGTGACCCTGTAGATGCTGCAACGGTGATAAGTGTGAAAAATGGTCCTACGTCACTTTTTTCTGGTGCCGTGGTAAATTTGCACTACTTAGAAGGGTTTTCTGGGCTTGAAATGGACCCCTTTCAAAGCTCAAGGACTTGCCAGTTGCAACAGTTTTCCATGTCTATCATTTCAGGAGTGGTCCAACCGGTCGAAGCTGCCCTCACCAGCCCATACCACAAGGAGCTACAGGGGGTGATTGAGAGACTGATCCTGAAGGAGCATCGGTTGGTCTGGAACAGCCTGGCCCGAAGCTGGTGAGCAACCCTTTGGAGAAGAAGCAAGAGGGCTGAGGGAGTAGGCAGTAGCCTCACATTTACCGTATTTTTCAGAGTATAAGACTCTCCAAAGTATAAGACGCACCTAGCTTCCGGGAAGGAAGACGAGAAAAAGAAAATCTGCCTCCCAGCAATTTGCCTCCTTGCAGCAAACAGTGAACAGCCCATTTCAGTTTCAGTTTCAGCATAGCCTGATTAGCACCAGCAGCTGATTGTCGTTTGGATCGGCTGTTTCAGGCTGCAGGGATTGCCATTGCCTATTGCTGCCTCCGTGCGCCCCATTTTCAGCCTCTGCATCCCGTTTTTGGCCTTTGCGTGCCCCATTTTCCGCCCGTTCCATGCGGGGTGGATCAGAATGGGCAGAAAATGGGGCATGCGGAGGCTGAAAATGTGGCTTGCGGAGGCCAAAAATGGGATGTGGAGGCCGAAAATGGGGTGGGCGGAGGCGGTAATAGGAAATGGCAATCCCTGCAGTCTGAAACAGCTGATGGGCGGGAGGCCGATCCAACCGACAATCAGCTGTTTGCGCTAATCAGGCTGTGCTGAAACCGAAACTGAAACAGGCTGTTCACTGTTTACTGCAAGGGGCGAAATTGCTGGGAGGCAGAGGCCAAAGGGTGGGGGCTGGCGGGTGGGTGGGGCTACATTTGGTGTATAAGAAGCACCCAAATTTAGGCATTTGCTTAGGGTAGACACAGGGGTAGCCTTGGCTGTCTCTGGGGTCTGTAATAATTCTGACCTGGTTAATGTTTCCTGTGTCATGTCATCCCAAAGCTGAGGGTCAATGTGTGCAGGTGTCTCGGGCAGCCATCGATCCGATTTGAAAGATCAACACAAGCTTCAACAGGTGGATGGAGATATTGAAATGGGTGGATAATTATGGGCCCTTTAGGCCTCCTGGACCTAACTGGCTGGCTGAGGAATTCTGGGAGTTGAAGTCCAGGAGGCCTAAAGGGCCCACAGTTCCCCACCTCTATAATAGAATGATCTAAAGGGAGAAAGAAAGGAAAAGAGCAAGGGGCAGCTCCATTTGTTGTTCAGGCTACAAGAGAAGTTCATTACGTGTTCAAAACAAAACATTTCCCCCTCTGTCAAGGAATAAGAGAGCCAGTTCGATCTAGTAGTTATGGCACCAGCCTAGAAAACTGAAGACTGATTTCTAGTCCTGCCGTTAGCCAGCTGGGTAATTTTTGGCCAATCACCAAGAGGCTGTGAGTTCTAGTCCCAGCATAGACATGAAAACTGCTATGTTGATTGTGAGCCAGTCCCTCTGTCAGTCCAACCCACCTCACAGAATTGTTCTGTGGTAAATAGGGAGAAGAAGTATGAGGCACATATGCTGTCCTCAGTGATTTATTAAAAAACATTAAGGGTGATAGATAAACACATAAGCTACAAGACAACATGTAGTATTGGTCTACTGTGTCTAATGCCTTCCCCTAAGGGAGGGATCAGCAACCCATGGCTCTGGAGCCGCATGTGGCTCTTCCATCCCTCTGCTGCGGCTCCCTGTCGCTGGTTGGCTTCACAATTGATAGAGCTTTCGGTTAGGACAGGTAGAGGAAAAAGGACGCCATGCTAGGAGGAAACTCTATGGTGGGGGAACTGGAGTTCCAGTCGGCAGAAGGAAAAGGATGCCGCACTAGGAGGAGACTCTATGGTGGGGGAACTGGACTTCCAGTCGGCAGAAGGAAAAGGATGCCGCATTAGGAGGAGACTCTATGGTGGGGGGAACTGGACTTCCAGTCGGCAGAAGGAAAAGGATGCCGCACTAGGAGGAGACTCTATGGTGGGGGAACTGGACTTCCAGTCGGCAGAAGGAAAAGGATGCCGCACTAGGAGGAGACTCTATGGTGGGGGAACTGGACTTCCAATCGGCAGAAGGAAAAGGATGCCACACTAGGAGGAGACTCT